GATCAACCATCAACACTCATGGAAGCAGCAGTCAAGAAATCAAATGATGTATTACATTTGGCATATCTGCTGCACAAGAACTCTTAAAAGTATTCAAGAGCAAAGATGTCAGTTTGAGGAGTAAGATGCGCCTGACCCAAACCATGGTATTTTCAATAACCTCATATTCATGTGAAAGTTGGGCAGTAAATAAGACCATAGAATAATTGATGTATTTAAATTATGGTGTTGGAAGAGAATATTGAAAGTACCATGGATTGCCAAAAGAACAAACCAGTCTATGTTGGAAGAAGTACAACTAGAATGGTCCCTGGAAGCCAGGATGGCTAGACTTCATCTCTCATACCTTGGACATATTATCAGGAGGGACTATTCCCTGGAGAAGGATATCATGTTTGGTAGGGTGAAGTGTCAGAGAAAAAGAGGAAAACCCCCAACTAGATGTATTGGCACAGCACAAAATATGACTGAACATGATTTTAGAGATCATCTCAAGAATAGATTCGGTACATTAGACACTAAAGACTAAAGATCAGATGAGTTGTGTAATGACATCAAGAGCATCATACAGGAAGAAAGCAAATGGTCTTTAAGAAGACAGAAAGAAGGGAAAGGCCAACATGAATGTCAGAAGAGATTCTGAAATTTGTTCTCCGTGGTAGAGATGTTAAAGTAAAATGGAAGAACTGAGCAGAAAAATTTAAAGGGCAGCTGGAGAAGACAAAGTCAAGTATTATAATGAAATATGCAAAGATCTGGAGTTAGAAATCTAAAAGGGAAAGACATGCTTAGCATTTCTCAAACTGAAAGAATTGAAGAAAAAAATTCAAGTGTCAACTTGTAATATTGAAGGATTCACTGTGGGATAATGCACTGGACCGCATGGTCGATTTGTCGATTTGAACCACAAGGTTGGTGGTTCAAACTCATCAGCCACTGCTTGGAAACCCTGTGTGGGGTTGATGTGAGTCAGAACCAACTCGATGACACTTAACAACAACAATGGACAAGATATTGAATGATACAGAAAGTTTCAAAAGAAGATGGAAGGAATATGCAGAGTCACTGTACCAAAAAGGAAAAAAAAAAAAAAAAAATAGGTTGCTGGTCATCCACTTCAAGAGTTAGCATAAGATCAAGAGCCAATGGCACTAAAGGAAGAAGTCCAAGATGTACTGAAGGCATTGGCAAAGAATAGACTCTGGGAATTGATAGAATACAAATTAAAATCTTTGAACAAACTGATGCAGCACTTGGAGGTACCCACTCAAGAAATTTTGAACTGGCCAAATGTGGAAGAGATCCACATTTGTGTCCATGGGATGTAGAAATCATCGAACAATGTTATTAATATCACATGCAAGGAAAATTTTACCAAAGATTATTTCAAAATGGCTGCAATAGTACATTAGCAGGGAACTGCCAGAAATCAAGCTGGACTCAGAAGAGGACTCAGAAGTGTAATGTGGGATGGCATTGTTGATGTCAGATGGATCTTGGCTGAAAGCAGAGAATACCAGAAAGATATTTACTTGTGCCTTTTTCGACATTGTGGATCATGAGAACCTGTGGATAGCATTACAAAAAACGGATATTCCAAAACACCTAATTGTACTCACGAGGAACCTGTACATAGACCAAAAGGTAGTCATTTGAACAGAGCAAGGGCATAGTGAATGTTTTAAAGTCAGGAAAGTTGTGTGCCAGGGTTGTATCCTTTCACTATACTTATTCAGTCCCTAGTCTGAGCAAATAATCCAAGAAGCTGGATTGTATGAAGAAGAACATGGCATCAGTATTTGAAGGAAGACTCATTAACAACCTGTGATATGTGTATGATACAACCTTGCTGGCTGAAAGCAAAGAGGACTTAAAATGCTTACTGATGAAGACTAAAGACTACAGCCTTCTGTATGGGTTGTGTTTCAAGGTAAATAAAGCAAAATCTTCACCACTGGACCAGTAATTAACATCACGATAAACAGAGAAAGGCTTGAAATTGTCAAAGACTTCATTTTGACTGGATCCACTATCAATACTCATGGAAGCAGCAGTCAAGAAATCCAAACAATGTATTGTACTATAC